TATTGTGTGTGGAGGGAGAGAGGGGGTTGAAGATATATTGTGTGTGGAGGGAGAGAGCAGGTTGAAGACATATTGTGTGTGGAGGGAGAGAGCGGGTTGAAGACATATTGTGTGTGGAGGGAGAGAGCGGGTTGAAGACATATTGTGTGTGGAGGGAGAGAGCGGGTTGAATACATATTGTGTGTGGAGGGAGAAAGCGGGTTGGAGACATATTGTGTGTGGAGGGAGAGAGGTGGTTGAAGACATATTGTGTGTGGAGGGAGAGAGGGGTTTGAAGACATATTGTGTGTGGAGGGAGAGAGGGTGTTGAAGACATATTGTGTGTGGAGGGAGAGAGGTGATTGAAGACATATTGTGTGTGGAGGGAGAGAGCGGGTTTTGTGTGGAGGGAGAAAGCGGGGTGGAGACATAGTGTGTGTGGAGGGAGAGAGGTGGTTGAAGACATATTGTGTGTGGAGGGAGAGAGGGGGTTGAAGACATATTGTGTGTGGAGGGAGAGAGGGTGTTGAAGACATATTGTGTGTGGAGGGAGAGAGGTGATTGAAGACATATTGTGTGTGGAGGGAGAGAGCGGGTTTAAGACATATTGTGTGTGGAGGGAGAGAGGTGGTTGAAGACATATTGTGTGTGGAGGGAGAGAGGGGTTTAAAGACATATTGTGTGTGGAGGGAGAGATGGGGTTGAAGACATATTGTGTGTGGAGCGAGAGATGGGGTTGAAAATATATTGTGTGTGGAGGGAGAGAGCGGGTTGAAGACATATTGTGTGTGGAGGGAGAGAGCGGGTTGAAGACATATTGTGTGTGGAGGGAGAGAGCGGGTTGAAGACGTATTGTGTGTGGAGGGAGAGAGCGGGTTGAAAATATATTGTGTGTGGAGGGAGAGAGGGGGTTGAAAACATATTGTGTGTGGAGGGAGAGAGCAGGTTGAAGACATATTGTGTGTGGAGGGAGAGAGCGGGTTGAAGACATATTGTGTGTGGAGGGAGAGAGCGGGTTGAAGACATATTGTGTGTGAAGGGAGAGAGCGGGTTGAATACATATTGTGTGTGGAAGGAGAGAGCGGGTTGAATACATATTGTGTGTGGAGGGAGAGAGCGGGTTGAAGACATATTGTGTGTGGAGGGAGAGAGCGGGTTGGAGACATATTGTGTGTGGAGGGAGAGAGGTGGTTGAAGACATATTGTGTGTGGAGGGAGAGAGGGGTTTGAAGACATATTGTGTGTGGAGGGAGAGAGGTGATTGAAGACATATTGTGTGTGGAGGGAGAGAGCGGGTTTAAGACATATTGTGTGTGGAGGGAGAGAGCGGGTTGAAGACATATTGTGTGTGGAGGGAGAGAGGGGTTTGAAGACATATTGTGTGTTGAGGGAGAGAGGGGGTTGAAGACATATTGTGTGTGGAGGGAGAGAAGTGGTTGAAGACATATTGTGCGTGGAGGCAGAGAGGTGGTTGAAGACATATTGTGTGTGGAGGGAGAGAGTTGGTTGAAGACATATTGTGTGTGGAGGGAGAGAGGTGGTTGAAGGCATATTAAGTTTGGAGGTTTGAGAGGCATTAGACATTTAAATATAGTTTCTTCTCATTTACTGAAAATTAAATATAAAATGTTTATTGAAATTTAAATATGATTCGTTTTTTTCAAATTTAATTAATGAAGTATGTTTATATTTAAAAAAATGACGCATGATTGTTACATAAATTAACTTCATTTATTGAAATATAAACATACTTCTTTTATTGAAAAAGAAACACACTTCATTCATTGCAATATAAATATGCCTTATTTATTGAAAAGTAAACATTCTTCATTTATTAAAATGTATGCATGCTTCATTTCTTGATATATTAATATACTTCATTTATAGAAATATAAATATGCTTCATTTATTATAATATAAATATACTTCAATTACTGAAAATAAGTAACCTTCCTTTATTTATTGTAATATAAATATGTTTCATTGATTGTAAAATAAATATACTTGATTTATTACAATTTAAATAAACTTTTTTTTTGAAATACAAATACACTTAATTTTTTTGTAATAAAATATTCTTTATTTGTAGAAATATAAATATACTTTATCATTGAAAATATTATTCATTGATTTCAATATAAATGTAATGTATTTATAAAATATAAATATATTTCAATTATTGAAATATGAATATACTTCATTGATTCTAAAATATATACTTTATTTATTGAAATATAAATATGCATCATTTATTTAAATATTAATATACTCTCTTGATTAAAATATAAATGTACTTCATTTTATTGAAAGATAAACCTACGTCAGTTTTTGAATTATGAATATACTTCATTTCTTAAAATATAAATATACTTCATTTATAGCAAGTGTATCCCTCAACGTTAAATATATTAGGTTTAAATGGGCCAAGAATTTAAATTTAATTCTTCTAAAAAAAAACAAAGCCTGCAATTATCTTTCAATTTTATTGGACCACTTTAACTTCAGAGCGGGGACAACAATTGAGGAGCTCGGGTGTGACGTGCAGCGAGATAAGTTGAGAAACACTGCTTTAATTGTAGATCTATGGGACGCTCAAATAGTTGAACTATTATTATTATTATTCGTGGTTTTATATAGCGCAGTACCCCAGCCTAGCGCTGGTCTCACCGCGGTGTACATTCAATTTAAGAAACATAATCACAAACTTAATGAAATTTATAAAAAAAAAAGCTGTATAATAAACAAAACAAATGCATATTCATTCCACCCATTCCAGAACTATTTACACGTGAAACGGCACGAGAGGAATCAGTCAAGATAGTTTAGTTTAAAGAGCTGTGCTTTGAGTGCAGTTTTAAAGGCCTAGATGGTTGGGGGGCACAAAAAGAGAAAGATCGTTCACCGGATGCCTTTGTGCATGTCTTGGGAACAGAAAGAATACGCGCGTCTGCAGAGGAGCGAAGCTGTCGAAGGGGTGAATGAACAGAGGGAAGTTCGGTTAAATAGGGAGGGCCGGAATTCGAGAAAATATTGTAGCAGAGAACAGAGAGTTTGTTGTCAGTCCATGCTGATATCAAGGATTTATACTTTAAAATTAGATCCATGATAGGCTTAAATATAATCCTATCAAAGCTGATACCAAGATACAAAGCTTAATGATAGAGCTATGATAGATTTGATTTTTGTTTTTAAAAAGAGCTCGGCTTTTCACTGCTGATATTAAAAAGCACTTGTTGGCTTCTGGCTTACGAGTCTTAGTCTAAAACACCTCAAAATGCCTGAAATGTTTGCATTTTCACAATAAAACCTACCTATAACTATTACAATGCTAACATTGTGCAGCTTTGCACGCCCTCCTTAGTGGCTTTTTTTCCGAGAAAACTCAAATTACAGCGTTTTATGATTAAGTCAGAAAACAGAGTACAACCTCTCGAAAAGAGAAATCATCCTGCATGCTCAATTGCTAATGTTTAGGAGCTAAAACTTTCTCCCTGCGCTTATCAAATATGCAATGCAATAAAATAAAAGATAACGATAATCAATGGGGATGAGCACAGGGAAATCAATTACTGTTGTAAGAATATTTTTTTTTTAAAGTACATAATATCGAATAGCGACAGGGGGCCACTCTATATTCACTACTATTTGTGTGGATGGTCAAAGCATGTTCACAATCCTTAGTGAAAGACGCCTGAGATGGCTAGGTCATGTTAAAAGAATGAGTCCCGGCCGCATTCCGAAAGACCTCCTATATGGTGAACTTGCTTCTGGAAAGAGGAAAACAGGTCGCCCACGTCTGCGATTTAAAGATGTCTGTCAAAGGGACATGAAAGCAGCCAAAATACATACAAGTGACTGGGAGTGTAAGGCAAAAGACCGATCTACGTGGCGCACAGTTGTCAAAGAGGGCGTCATGGTAGCCGAGGAACGAAGAATGGAAGAGGCTGCTGACAGAAGAGCTAGGAGAAAGGCCAAAACATTTGGAAGCACGGAACTCGTGTGTAAAAACTGTGGTAAAGACTGTCACTCAAGGATAGGACTGCACAGCCACTCGAGAAAATGCAACCCAAACCAACGGTGATGCACCATCGTCTCACGAGACGGAAGGATGCCGGAAAAAAAAATGTGTGGATGGTGGAAGCGTTTTAACTGCTTAGGTGAGACAATGCCAAGAAATACCTGGGAAAAAATGACCTCAACTGACCACACTGATATAAAGGACATTTTGAAAGTCTACTGAAAGGGTTGAAACCCCTCAACTGGACAGATAATGACAACACAACAGTGTGAACTGGACAGACGACAACGGCATCATGACAGTACGAATTGGACAGAAAGCAACGGCACCATGACAGTACGAACGGGACAGACAGCAATGACGACATGACAGTACGAACTGGAGAGACAGCAATGAAGACATGACAGTATGAACTGGACAGACCGCAATGACAACATGACAGTGCGAACTGTAGAGAAAGCAATGACGGCATGACAGTATGAATAGGACGGACAGCAATGACAACATGACAGTGCGAACTGGAGAGACAACAATGATGACATGGCAGTACTGAACTGGGCACGAACTGGACAGACAGCAATGACGACATGACAGAACCAATTCGACAAACAGAAACGACGACATGGCATTGCGAACTGGAAAGACAACAATGACAACATGACAGTATGAACTTGACAGACCCCAGTAAAAGATGACATTTTCAAAATGGGCTACCATAATTTTTTTTTTTTTTAAAACCCATCTAGGATCAGTTTGGCTACAGTAAATGAATGACAACTCAGGACTGGACGGACCCCACCATCGGGCGCACTTGTGCCGAGGATGGAGACGTTTAGCATCACTTAGCACGCACCCTACCATCAAAAGCCCAACATACACTTTCTTAATTATTATCACTATCAAATACGTGGACGCGTGCCGGCGACTCACCCATTGAAAGAGCCACACGCTGACCACGTAACCTAGATGTGAAGGAGTGTCGGTAACTGTGGACCGGTGAGTGCTTTGATATACGTCATGTCCTGGACCAAAGGGCCCGGCGACCACTTCAGTCCTTATGTATAAAACTAGGACATCGGCGAGCAGTCGAGATAAGCAGAGGACCTACTTTTTTTAAGAGACTCTAAACCAATAATTAATTTTCAAAGGAATATATCCTAAAACGAGACTACTAAATTTATTTTAAAAAGTTTAAGATTGGCATTTCAATAGGTAAACATTGAAAAAACCACACCAAAAAAAACCACTACTTTTCTGGTTGACTTTGTTTAAGTCAGAGGCGCTGTCTACAGGAGCTGTGCTCAGAAGCTGTCCACGGGAGCTGTCCACGGGAGCTATCCACAGGAGCTGACCACAATGTTACCAAAATTTTGCTCCCGAGGAATCATCTTCGCAACTATGGTGAGTCAAGAGTTTAATGAACCTACTTTTAGCAGATTTATTCATATCATCTTAAAATGAAGTTTAGATACGCACATTCAGTTCTATGTGTTCTCATCACAAGATTATGGTCTAAAATCTCGTCTCTAGTTTATGTCTCATGGAGGATAAATAATAAACAGTTAGCTAAACATGTGCAAGGGCCGCTGGGAAAACTAAAGATGTGACATTTGACGGTACATTGCTATGTACACGTCTTCCCTTATGTGACATTTAACGGTACATTGCTATGTACACGTCTTCCCTTATGTGACATTTAACGGCACATTGCTATGTACACGTCTTCCCTTATGTGACATTTAACGGCACATTGCTATGTACACGTCTTCCCTTTACACCCAATGACTTTTTTTTTTAAAAAGGAGACAAAAAAAGAGAAACAATTGCAAGGCGCCATGCCTATTGGACAAGGTTTAGCACGGACAGAGCTCTTGCCACAGAGCCTAAACAATTTTTATAAAGTCAGTTGGGTTTCAAGGAAGGTGAAGGTGTGGTCGTCCATCCCGCTTCATTTATTCAATGACACAAAGGTTGTTGTTTTTTATATTTCGGGCGCCTTTTTGGAGTAGCCCCCGGGCAGAATACAATCAGTTACAAGCATGGTCCAATGATTACAATCAGTTACAAGCATGGTCCAATGATTACAATCAGTTACAAGCATGGTCCAGTGAATACAATCAGTTACAAGCATGGTCCAGTGAATACAATCAGTTACAAGCATGGTCCAATGATTAATAATGTCTAGATTCTTAAATCGTTTAACATTTAAATTGGCTTCATTGTAAATGTAATTTATTAAAAGTGTTCAAATATAAATGTTATGGAAAATTGTGCAATTTTAAAGGAATCGAGATGTTTTGTGTGATAATAATGGGACATATGAAATAAAATTTATATATTGTTATATATATTACACACATAATTGTCTCAAAACAAATGCTTTATCTGCCATCGTACAATAAGTTCTAACAAGATAAGCTCGAATAAGATAAGTTCGAACAAGATAAGTTCGAATAAAACCAGAATGGTATTGTTAAACATTCGCTTAAAAACGCCGCTTATTGGCAAAGCCTTTAAAGAAATCTTGGCTTGAACCATATCAGCTATTTATGTTTAAACCTCGCGAATGCGTGCAGTCAACAAAGTAGCATCACGTTTATTGAGTGGTTCATGTGGTGTTGGCGACTGTGTTCTATTTACTTGTTAAGAGAAGTTTCTGCAATTTCCTAAAGTCAGACCTATCATTACTTATTTGTCTTGTTTCATCCTAGGCCTTGACCTTGGTGAGTGATGTCAGGTCTCGTAGCATCGATGAGCGCATAGCCGGGGCGTCCATGTCCAATCCCGGATATTTCCTGGCAGACATCGACACTAAGACTGTAATGCAGGAGCTAGACATGATGCTTACCTTGGCCCAGTACAAAGCCTTGCAGGTTAGTTGAACAACTATTTTTTATTTTTGTTGCGGTCCGCTGGGTTTAAATTAGAGACCGACTAAATTTTGGGTTTGGCGCCAAAAGTGGCCATTTGATCCCTTTCGGGCTAATTTCAGCTTCGGCTTCAGTGCCGAAACTACCCATTTGATTACTTTCGGCCTAATTTCAGCTTCGGCTTCGGTGCCAAAAGTGGCCATTTGATCACTTTCGGCCTAATGTCAGCTTAGGCTTCGGTGCCGAAAGTGGTCATTTGATCACTTTCGGCGTAATTTTGATTTCGAAGCGGAAAGTGGCCATTTCATCACTTTCGGCCTAAGTTCGGTCGGCCCAACTGAAAAGTTAAATTGGCTTTTTAGAGATGTAATAATTATTATAGGTATATGTTCTAGAATGTTATTATATTATAAAAGAAAAGGGCACTCAAAGGTCTATTTTGTATTCATTTTGTCCCCCCCCCCCCCCCCCCCAAATTTATCTTACCATACCACCTAAATAACATTTTCTAAGAAATTTAAATTAAATTTAAATTAAAATAGTAAAAGCTGAAGTATTATTTAAATGTTTTTGTATTACTATTTACAATGATCTCATTAAAAAAAAAAAGAATTTAAATATTGATACTTTCCCCCCATCATTTTGTTGATGTATGCAGAGTGTATGCGTGGACGAATTTAAAAATACCTCAATATTTAAGTTTAGGCTTCTCCTTTGGCCGAAAATCTCGTTAAGCTTTTGGTTTCGGTTTCGGAAAACGGCCATTTTTAAATTTCGGCCTAGTTTCGGTCTCGGCCGAAATCAGAAAATCACTTTCGGTCGGTCTCTAGTTTCAATAAAAGATAATTATTGATGGAGTGCATTACTCGCTCACTTTCCACTCGCTCGAAAATTTAACCGGTCTCTTCACATTTCAACAGAAAACTACTTAAAGGTGCATTAGATTTATTCATTACAGCATTAATTTTTTGCACAAACACACCAGAGAGAGTAAAATGTATGTATCCTTAAATATTTTAGTCCGGTAAGATTCTCTACCTTATTCTTCACAGTACCAATATTTACATTCTTTCACTTCCTGTAATATTACTTCCGCCAACAAAAGGAAATCTCTACAGTTTTTTTTTTTACAGTGTTCTGTCACTTGTCTTAGTTTTATGTGTCTTGTTTGCTGACGACGACCCTAAGCCGGAACGTCTAAATCTTATTGTTCTGTCAATTCATTCAAGTTTAACATACCTTGTTCTTACATTTCGTTTGAATATAAGGAGGCTTAAGATTGGCTCCCGAAATTTCATACATTCCTTGTCACTTGAATTTGTTTTCAAATCACGGGGAGAGGGGTTAGAATAATCCTTTCCCACTCTTGTCCGACACACTTAATAAAACCACCAACACTAGTCCAACCTCAACACCTTCAGCTCATTAATCACAATAGTTTTTTTAATTACTTTTTTTTTTTTTTATCCGATGATTTACCTAATATTTTTGTGTGCTCAAATCAAGCTTTATCCGGAGAAAGGACAATGGTAATATCCCGTAACAAAATCAACCTCGCTTTTTAACGTGCTCCGATATCAGAGACCATAATTATTGCGTTACAACGGGGCTTAGCTGTCCTCAGTTTGGAAGTAACGCGTGAAATTAAATTGGACCGAATACGACAGAGAAAATGGGAAAATTTAATTTATATAACTAGATGAGTTTTCATGTTAAATTCATTACCTAGAAAGGTTAAAGAAATTCGTCTGTTAACCTAACCAAAGAAATTGATTTATTGATAACGCTTAAAATTAGACCTAAAAAAACGATAAAGATGTAATAATTCATGTTATATTTATATATTAATTTTAGAATAATAAAGAAATATAAAGCACATTAAAATCTAATTTTATAAGTATTTTACCGGTGTTAACATTGTAAGAAAATCAGCTCAATATGACCGATCTAAAAATGACTGCTAAAAAGATTTTGATTTTTCCCTTTGGCTAACAAGAAACCTTTTGTTTATCCTATCCGCAGGAAGTGAAAAATGACGCGGCCGACCAGGGCTCTAGGGTCGAGCGTAAAGCACTTTTGGCCGAGTCGACTCGCTGGACAAACAAAGTGATCCCATACAAGATAGTCCCTAACATATTCAATGACAGAGCTATTGGAGAAATTAACCGCGCCATCAGTGAATGGCAGAACAATACATGCATTACTTTCAGACCAGCGAGGGGCGGGGATCAAGACTTTGTCTCCATCGATAACGGTAACGGTTGTTTTTCGTACGTCGGCATGATAGGTGGTTCTCAAACCCTGGGTCTGGCCCCGGGTTGTCGTTTCAAAGGTGTCATCGTCCACGAGCTGGGACACGCTGTCGGATTTCATCACGAGCAGAACCGCCCCGACCGTGATGACTACGTCACCATTATCAAAGAAAATATCCAGAAAAATTTGTACTACAACTTCCAAAAATATCCCTGGACGGCAGTCACCACGTTAGATGTACCGTACGACTACAAGAGCGTCATGCATTACGGAGGTAGAGCTTTCTCTGAAAATGAAAACTTGACCATAAAAACTAACGACCCCGCGTATCAAAACGTGATCGGAAACAGAGAGGGTCTCAGTTTTTACGACATCAAACTCGCGAACCTGATGTACAAATGCAACTCGGCCTGCCCGGCCAACAAGGTCTGCCCGTGGCCTGGGTTTGTCGGGAAAGACTGCACCTGCTGGTGTCCGGGGACCCCCGTGAAACGTTGCGAGAACGACACGATGGTCTCGGTCAGCACCAACACCCCGTCGACCGTGAGCACCACCCAGAGAACCGCTTGCGCAGATATGAACGAGAACTGCCCCGGCTGGGCCAAGGCCGGCTACTGCCAGCAGAACACGTACGTGAAGACCTTCTGCAAGCTCTCGTGCAGGACGTGCGCGTCGGCCGAGCCCACCACGTTGGCGACGTGCAGAGATTTGAACAATCGCTGCAACGAGTGGAAGGAGAGCGGGTTCTGCAGCGGTCCGTACGATAAGTTCATGCTGATGAACTGCCCCTTGGCGTGCAACAGGTGCGGTAAACTCCAGGACCCGAGGAGGATGAGCACCGAGAATCCCTCGGCCGGAGGTGATGAGAACCGTTCGTGTGGTAGTGGCTTGAATCTTTTGTTACTTGTTTTCGCTTTGTGTTATTTTGCGTTGTGAATCTCTTGGTAGTCATTGTAATGCTTTAAAAATCTTTCACATTTCAAGCTAATGCCATTATAGATCGAATACAGTTTTGTGTTATGATAAACTTTACAAGTTATTCCTTTCAAAAGTTTAATATGATAAAAAAGTCTTGAAGTTTTAAAAGAATAGATTTAAAATGTCAAGGCCATGAAATAAGGAAATGGTTTGAGATTAAACCAAGAAACGAGACAGCAAAGGAGACATTTTGAACAGATTGTAAGAAAGAAAAAGAGGAGTTAGAGGTAGAAAGGAAAATAAAATAGAAAGAATGTTGAAATGCAAAAAGAATAACAGAGAGAGAGAATGACAGGAAGAGAGATAGTGGGAGAGAGAGCCACAGAGGGAGAAAGAGAGAGAGAGGGAGGTAGAGGGGAAGGAGAAAGAGAAAGGGGAGAGAGAGGAACATAGGGGGAAAAGATAAAGAAAGATAGAAGGAAAATAAGAGAGAGAGGACGAGAGATAGTGGGAAAAAGAGAGAGATACAGGGTGGGTAAAGATAAGGTGGTTAGAGAGAGTGTGGGTAGATAGAGTGTGGAGAGAATGATTAGAAGAGAGGGAGAGAAGAGAGAAAGAAAGAGAGAGTGAGAGATACAATGAGAGATAGAAAGAGAGAGGAGGGAGAAAGAATGGTAAAATAAACATAATAGATATTGTCTTCCATATAACTGAAGAGTTCGCGATGTCCAAAAAAATGATGCTGTTGTGTTGCAAAAATGTTTGTGTAAAATGGAACATGTGAATAATCCTTGTTATTTTTTGAATTGCTAATTTTTACATTGTTTTAAAATTGTGTCAAAATTAATTCTTATTTCTATTATGTATTACATTATTGTCTTTTAATATCATTTTCGTATTTCAAAAAAAAAATATATAACAAATATGTTACTTCAAAAAAAATATTTTATATTATGAATGACAAAATTGAATGATGTCCATACATTTTGTAATGAAAAATAATGTTACATTTTTAATAACAAAAAATAGTTAATGCTGTTAAAATAAAATGTTGTTGAAAGTCGCTTCCATTTGCTGTAGTTAGTATTGTTACGTATATTTGCCTGGTATTGTATTACAGTATTTTTTAAATTATATGATCTATTGTGATGTTTTTTCTCGACAATAAAACTAAATCACTAAAATCGGATTTCCTTTGAAGATTTCTAGCGTTGATTCTTCTTTTTTCTTTTCTTTTTTTTTTTTTTTTTTTTTTTTTNAGATTGAGGCAAACTTTTCCGTTGAATATTCCTCAAAGATTGAGGCAAACTTTTCCGTTGAATATTCCTCAAAGATTGAGGCAAACTTTTCCGTTGAATATTCCTCAAAGATTGAGGCAAACTTTTCCGTTGAATATTCCTCAAAGATTGAGGCAAACTTTTCCGTTGAATATTCCTCAAAGATTGAGGCAAACTTTTCCGTTGAATATTCCTCAAAGATTGAGGCAAACTTTTCCGTTGAATATTCCTCAAAGATTGAGGCAAACTTTTCCGTTGAATATTCCTCAAAGATTGAGGCAAACTTTTCCGTTGAATATTCCTCAAAGATTGAGGCAAACTTTTCCGTTGAATATTCCTCAAAGATTGAGGCAAACTTTTCCGTTGAATATTTCTCAAAGATTGAGGCAAACTGTTCCGCTGAATGTTCCTCAAAGATTGAGGCAAACTGTTCCGTTGAATGTTCATCAAAGATTGAGGCAAACAGTTCCGTTGAATGTTCCTCAAAGGTTGAGGCAAACTGTTCCGTTGAATGTTCCTCAAAGGTTGAGGCAAACTGTTCCGTTGAATGTTCCTCAAAGATTGAGGCAAACTGTTCCGTTGAATGTCCCTCAAAGATTGAGGCAAACTGTTCCGCTGAATGTCCCTCAAAGGTTGAGGCAATCTGTTCCGCTGAATGTCCCTCAAAGGTTGAGGCAATCTGTTCCGCTGAATGTCCCTCAAAGGTTGAGGCAATCTGTTTCGCTGAATGTCCCTCAAAGGTTGAGGCAAACTCTTTCGTTGATTAACTTATAATCCCGCAATGGAACTATACATTTACTATACACTTTAGCTACATTGTATATTGCTCTTAAGATTTTTCAATATGTTTTTAATTCAAATAAGAATAATTACACGAATGCTTCCACCAATAATTCAGGTCTTAAACCATTGATAAATGTTTCGTGTTTTTTTTTCCTTCAAAAAAAAAATATTATAATAATACATTTAATAGGAAAAGCAAATTCTTAGATTTTTCATATTTTGTACTTACAAATGTTGGATATAGGAGTCCAATAGTTTCGTTTAAAAATTATAGAAGAGTGGTTCTCAACCATCCTAATTCCGCGACCCTTTACTAAAGTTCCTTATGTTGTGGTGACCCCGAACAATAAAATTATTTTCCTTGCTGCTTCATAAATACGTGTTTTCCGATGGTCTTAGGCGACCCCTGTGTAAGGATCGTTCGACCCCCAAAGGGGTCGTGACCCAAAGTTTGAGAAACCGCTCTCTTAGAAGAAACGTCAATACTATTTCAGCTACGGAGCATTTTCTTCACGTAGAACCTCCAAAATCACGTCACAGAAGTTTACTAACAAACAATGAATTATTTTATAATTACGACGACATAACTACAAATCAAACAAGCTACACCTAAAATATGTAACTATTTTTAAAAGCCTTTTTATACATTATTTAAACTGCACCGATACAACAGTTTAACATTACCATTAAAAGGGACGCAATCGAACTTTCTGAAACTCCTACTTTGCTCTTAACATTGGCTCCCTTGAGATTTCTGTTTAAGATGTTATTATACTTGAGTCTAACAGTAGACCACATCCTCCGATGCATCTGTTAACATTGACTTTAATGAGCTGGCCTGATATGTCCCAAATGACATCTATATTAGGTCATTGGGTTCTCAAATTTCCTAATGCCGCGACCTTTTAATATATTTCACTCATTTTGTGGAGGCCACTAACCATAAGATTATGTTCGCTGCTACTTCATAAATATGTGGTTTTCGACGGTTTTAGGCGACCCCTATGTAAGGGTTGTTTTACACCCAAAAGAACCGCTTCTACAGATAATGTCACAGTTTTTTTTTTTTTTTTTTTTTTTTTTTTTTTTTTTTTTTTTTTTTTGATTATTTTTTTTAAGCTGTCATTTCACTTGAACTGGTAATGAGTCATTGCTTAACAAGTTTCAAGACTTTTTTAACCTTTAACTTTTGAACCCTAAACCTTAAAAACTGATTTATTTTCTGTTGTTGTAAATTTCGTGGATCCTTCTGAAAAGGGAAATTGAATAAACTTTCCAAGTATTTTTTTCTGATATAACTCAATTTAAAAAGACAGCTAACATCTCTACATCTACTTTTGACGTGAGCTTGTTGATCTGGCCCGTATTTCATTGCTTCAGTTAAATACTCAAAAGTGGAAACTTTTAAAACAAAACATAAGTGGGTCCACATAATGTCAAGAAGACGTCAAGGTACAAGTACGCTCAACAATGTCAAGAAGACGCCAAGGTACAAGTACGCTCAACAATGTCAAGAAGGATTGCTTTTAAAAAAAAAAAAAAAAATTTTGAGATATTCGTAAAGTGTTTTTTGTTTTGTTTTTCTGTGTCACTGTCAAATGAAAGCCAGATTTTGTTATGCAACGTTTCACGGTTGCTTGTGTTGTCTTAAAGTTAGGAGGTCATGAGCAATGTGTATTTTTATTATTTTTTTTTACCAGCTCAAAGACGATATACTTAAGATCAATTCGATCTGGCGGTATTGTTTCTCTCAACGTTAAGAGCGAATGATACAAAAATATTTTGTTCCCCAATCTATTAGAATTTACCCGCGTCTTCCTACGCCTATCAAACAATCGGTCTTTAATACAGACTTTGTTATCTTAACGGGAATGGGATATTATGAATTTTGCGATTGAGAAATATTTTAGATGTCTTGTATTTAAATTGTTCTGGTTTAAAAAATGATTTATTTTGTTAAGAATATTTATCCGTGGGCTGAAAACGAGTAATGTGTACAAGGTAATCAAAACACATTTCCATTTCTTTTGATCTCTAAAAAAAATCTTACCTTTTCTTATCTTATTGATGAAGTCATGTTAATGTACAGTGCATATCTTAAGCTGGATTACAGTATCGGTGATGTTAAAGCTTATCGGAATTCCCCCCATCCAAAATATAAAAAAAACTCCACTCCTATGGCAATCCTTACTTCATCGTTAGTTCTAGTCAATAACCTGGCACGCAATGACGTATTTCAAGAGAGGGGGAGAAACTACCTTCCCAGGCCAACATTTCCTCTGGACCGCATTTGTTTGTCCGCTGTGTGATGAGTGCAAGGGGGAGTACTACTTTTGTTCCTTAAAATACTGCACAATTTGTATCTCCTTTTATATATGTTCTGTAATTATAATTATTATATGTTATCCCGGGTGAGGGCTTGAAAACCCAAGAAGCTCCCCCTTGAGTCACATGACTTTAGTTACGCCACTGCCTGCTTGTTCAAGCGCCCCTGAGATACTACCAACTCGAACAAGACATACGTCAAACGGTTATTGATTTGGTGAAGTTCGGAACTGAAAGGATGCCTGAGCTTATCCCAAACTCAGCTTAACAAACTTGTATAAAGATATCAGTTACCTGAATGTACCCCAATCCCAGCAAAACGATCAATTTGAGATTTCAGTTACTCGTGTAAAAGCTATATATATATATATATATATATATATATATATATTGCATNATATATATATATATATATATAGATGTAGTTAGCTACGTCTATTACGTACTAATAGAAAGTCATCACATGAATACTTTTTTTTTCCAAAGAAACAGGACGTGTACGTTTGACTTCTTTAAAAAATTGTTCTAATCAACCACAGACTTAACATATTATTTTTTCATCCTATACAGAAAACTGGGATGATTGAGAATACTTCGATTTTTATTTAATATATATTACGACATTTAATAACGACTAAAATATTGAAATCAAATTTTGTTATACTAAGCTCGGGCGATAACTTGGTCTGCTGCGTTCTTATATAAAGTTCTGCTCATCATAACAATGAGTTTTGGGCTGTGACGAATTTTTCATGTTTTCGACTCTCCAACACGGACAGTGGTTAACTTGACAGTGGTTAACTTGACAGTGGTTAACTTTTCAGTGGTTAACTTGACAGTGGTTAACTTGACAGTGGTTAACTTGACAGTGGTTAACTTGACAGTGGTTAACTTAACAGTGGTTAACTTTTCAGTGGTTAACTTTACAGTGGTTAACTTTACAGTGGTTAACTTTACAGTGGTTAACTTTACAGTGGTTCAAAATAAAGTACATTAACTTTGAAATGACCAAAATTGAAAGAAGATAGTTACAAAGACGCGAGAGAACAAGACATATGAGTTAAAAATTTTACGTGGAAATAAAGCTCATCTAGTGAAACAGACAGCTCACTATGCGTTTTAAGTATCAACAATTTTAGAGGTTCGAACAATGTTTCTTTATTTACCTTCGATTCGTAGCTTTTGTCAAGGGAAATAATTCTATCAATATCCGCAGTTATTTCCTCCTACTCAGTTTCATCCGAACTGAAACTCACGTTGGTTTTTGGACAGTTCTTCCGCCATAAAGTCCACTTGAGTTGGCCTAGCCTTTGAACAGACAGTGGGGCCCCTGGTAACAATGGTATTAAAAAACTATATATTTACTATTAGCATATTACGTAGCCCAAATAATAATCTAAAACTAAAAAAAAAACACAAAAATAAAAACTGTCCGACAAAATAATATATATAACATTTACTAGTGCCATCTTCTTTTAACTCTTCTTAATTGCTATGTGCTTGTAAGTCAATGGTCTGAGAATGATTATTTTTACAAATTGGCCTTTCGTCCATCATCGATCCTCAATATTTAGGCAAAATATAATAAATTATACAATATCAATAAGTTATTTAAAAATATCAATAAAATATAAAAATATCAATAAATTATAAAAATATCAATAGGTTATATAAAAATCACGAAATTTTGAAACTATCTATAAGTTATGAAAATATCTTTAATTTGTAAAAATATTAATAAATTATTTAAAAATATCAATAAATTATTTAAAAATATCAATAAATTATAAAAAAATATCAATAA